GTAGATGTGTTGGGGCATGTTCATAGCCAGTGAGCACAATCCTGCTATCTCTGCATGCATTTGGAGGTGGGGGAGAGGCAAAGTTGTTTGTGCACAGCCCTACATTGTTCCATATTTTAGATTTTGACATAAGGCAACTTCTCAAGTGTAAGTTCGACACAAGAATATTGCATGTCATATTAAGCCCAAAAGGAGTAGAACACATTTGTGTAATGCACAAGAATGTCACAAATCAAACCTTTTGACAGCCACCTATCATGTCTGGTTGTACTGACACCAGGAAAACAGGTACAGTAGTAAGAGTTCCAGGGTTGTAATACTGAGGGCTAAACTGAGTGAACAGGCCTTCCTCTGCTTTTATGTTTATGGAAATGCAGCTGGGGGAAACCCCTACAAATCTGACTTGCGAATCAGAATTTGCTTAATGTTTCCTTTGGACCATTTCCCTATATTAAATTGCCATCTTGCAGTCACAGTTTGCTCCACTGTAGAAAAAAATAGCAATACCACTCCCTGCTGCTGTGGAGCTAGCAGTAGTTTTGGAGCAGTCATTGAAGGCTGATTCATCAGGGCAAATGGGGTGCTGCCTCACCAACCTTGGTCTACCCTTTGCCAATCCTCACATGCCTGCTTTCTTACAACCAGTCCAGATGGTGGCACTGGCTGTTAACCTTCCTGCTTCTTAGCTTCAGTGATGTCATTATAAAACTCATTAGGGAGGTGGATGGGAGCAAAACTAGAGTTAGTTGGCTCTACCTGTCATTCATTCTGGTTCATCTCATTGGCTCAGACTCTACCTACTGCTCGCCTCTCTGCCTTCTGACCTACCAGTCTCAATAGGCACCAGTCACCATTGGAAGTAATGATTTGGACAGAGCACATGTCCAAACAGCTTGTTTATTGAGCATTTGTCCTGATTTGTTTACAGGGAGATTTGCTAATGAGCATTTCATTCTGAATTGGTGGGAAGGTTAGGCAATGTTGCGTTAAAGTGAGTGGTATCTCAGATTTCACAGGGAACTTACCCATCATGATCCTTATTGCAAAAAGTCCAATCTTTTGGGGAAGGTTTGTTTAGCAAGGTCAACTATAATTGTGTCTCAGTGAACTATAATTGTGTAACTCAAATTTGCCAGTTTGTGATTGAAACACACCCTAAAACAGTGATGGTCTAGAAGCTCCCTGAGAAAATATCATGGGGAAAGTATCAAACAAATCATATTTAGTTCCCAACTGGGTTGCATTTTTATTTTAAAAAATGCTAAGAGATCCAATCACTGATTTCTTATGTAATGTGAAGTCTGGCCCTAACTCTAAACTGGTTCATGCTTCCCCTGAGAGAAGCCTAAGTGGTTCATTTGTTGTTTTGGTCTCCATGAAGTTGAAGATGAGATAAAGTCCATATAGGAATCCCAACAAAGAGAAATGCTTGCATCAGATATTTTACTATGATTAGTCCAGGGAGGGAGTGAAAGAGAATATTCTATGTATAAGGCCCTGACATATATTATAAGCCCTGAGACTGGCACAAATATACCCTATATCGTTTTGAAATATTACTATAAAATAAAAAAGGTAGCCTGTCTCTCAGAATGAATAACACCAAAGAGACCCATTTCTGCTAGAGGCAGAAGGTAACATCCAGCATATTGCTGATACAATGGGAAGAGAAGTTGAAAGAAAAATTGTTTGAACCCATTATTATACTTTGGGATTCCTCTATTGTGGCACTGCTGGAAATTGTGCTGCTATGAACTTTCTGAGAATTGTAGGGTCTTTTACCTCTTCATTTTATATACTTTCCTACCTGAAGGAAAAACACATGATGCCATGTCACTACTACAACACAGTGAGGCCATTACATATCATGCAAGAGGTCTCCTTCCTTCAAAGGAATGAAAAGCATGTCCTGCAGCCCCCCCTCTCTCTCATGTATGCTCACACATGTGCACCTATAAAGAATCTGAAAGAACAAGGCAGTATTGTAGCAATTTAACACTTCTAATCAGCCTAGAGGAATCATTGAAATATCAATATGTTAATAACATAAGAATATAAGAAGAGTCCTGTTGGATGAGCCCAAAGATTCATTGACTCTGGCATCCTGATCTCACAGTAGCTAACTAGATTCCTATAGAAAGCCCTTAAGCAGGACCTTAGAGGAAACAGCACTCTCCCCACCTGTGATTCTAAACAACCTGTCATTCAGAGGCTGACTGCCTCTGTCATTGGAGATAAAGCATAGCCCTCATGACTAGTCGCCAGTGACAGCCTCTTCCTCCATGAATTTATCTAATCCTCTTTTAAAGTTATCTAGGGTAGGAGGCCATCATTACCCCTGGTGGGAGCGAATCCCAGAGTTTACCTGTGCACTGTTTAAAAGAAGCACTCCACCTCTTTGACCCAGTTTGATCTCAAGGTTTAGTGAAAGGAGAATATTCACCCTGAGGCAAATTAAACTACCTTAACTTGTAATGTTGGGAGCGCTGTTCCAAGGTGAGTCCTGAGAGAGATAGCAGGAATTTGTGGAATGGTCATTACTTCCACAAATGTTAGGAAACCCTATAATTGCACTGCAGGAGACTTGCTTCTGACACAGTCCTTCAGACTGCTTCTCCACCTGTTCTTGGTTAGCCTTGCCCTTTCTGTCTTCACTTTCTGGATAGATAGATATTTGCTTTCAGGCTCCACAGCTGTGTGTCACTAGGTTCAGCCTCCAAGACAGGGCTTCCTCCCGGTAGCCTTTTTCACAATGTAAACAGAGTTCCCTTGAGAACCTTTGGTTTGGGCCACCAAGTTTGCTTACTCTTTGTGGTGATGAGTCCATTTTTCCACTAAGAAAAGTAATTCAACAACTGAATGTAGATATCTCTAGACATGGGAAGAAGGATCCAGCTACTTCCTTTCTGCGTAAATGATGTTCCTAAAATCACATCCGCTTCCTTGTAGTATTCACAGTTCCTTTACCCCACCTTCTGCCATTGGTACTTACTGAAGAAGAATTGTCCCTGATGTGTAGCTTGCTCTTTTATTCTTTTCTTTTTTGACACAAGATTTCATCTCTCCCCCCCCCCCTTTGATCACAGGGAAACTCAAGCCATGTGATGAGCTTGCTGGTTGAGAGAAATACCTTTGCAAAGGGCAGGAGGAAGCAAAGGATCTCCTCGATTTTGAGCTCAAGAGCACTCAGACTGTAATGCTGTTCTGTAAAAACCATGACAACCTGGGTCCTCCTAAACAAAGTATTCCCCTATTGCATCCACTTTCATTTCCGCATGTCCCCAAACAATTGAGGAGATAAGATCTAAACAGATTATAAACCAAAGAGCACCACTTTAAGAAGTATCTGCTATCTTGCAATACTCAAATCTGGGATTTAATTGAGGAGTCCAAGTTTGCCTGAGTTTAAAGGAGGCTACCAGAAAGAGCTCCAAAAGCAAACTTGAAGTCCCGATTCTTGTTTATATGTGCTCTGGAAGAGTCCCCCATGCCCAATACTTGGTAGCAAATATATACACTATGCCTATGTGTATGTTACTTTTGAAAATTGCCATCTTGAATGGACTGCTGGAGCAATCCTATCACAGAGTGGAAGGTGAGGCACAGGCAAATTGCTGTGCCAGCCTGGAACTGGCATATGGATTGGGCCTAGACTGGGCCAAATGCTGCCATGTGATGGCAGCAGGGCCAGCTTGGGATCCAATAGATCCCCTTCCTTGCCCCTGGAAAGCAATTTCTTCCCCATTTTTTTTTTTTAAGACCCACCATCCAGGCACTGGTTGGCATCAGTTTGAAAAGCACCTAACTTAGTCATGCCCCTTAAATCCAGTAGCTCTACTCCAAGTAAAACTTAGTTGATTACCACCCAATATATGTATTTAATTCTACTGCAAGTCATCTGTCAGATACCATCAAGTGCTCATTGCTACTGCATGCCTGTTGTCACTCATCAGTAAATGTTGATTGCTGCATGTCTGATATTATCAAAATTTGGCATCTGTTGCCCATCAGGTATCAAATGTTGTCTGACTGCTGTATTTCAGATACCACCAAATGCTGAATGGTAGCGCAAGCCGGTGCTAGCTAGGAGATGTTGTCAAATGCTGCAGATTCAATCTCAGATGCTGATGCTGGATAGCAGATATCCCAATAATAATAATAATAATAATAATAATAATAATAATAATAATTTACTTGTATCCTGCCCATCTAACTGGGTTGCCCCAGCCACTCTGGGTGGCTTCCAGCATATATAAAAACATAGTAAAACTTTAAACTTTAAAAAGCTTCCCTAAACAGGGCTGCCTTCAAATATTTCCTAAAGGTTTTAGAATTACTCATCTCCTTGACATCTGATGGGAGGACATTCCACAGGGTGGGCACCACTACTGAGAAGGCCCTCTGCCTGGTTCCCTGTGGCGTCACTTCTTGCAGTGTGGGAACCACCAGAAGGCCATATTGTGCTGGACAATATGTGCTGGACAAAGGTTCTTGGAGCATGGTTATGAGAGGAACACCCCAAAGGAATGGCACTAAGAAGCAGATTATCCTCCCTTAAGGACCAGCTGCTGCAAGAGACAAACTTACTGATAGCAGTGGTATATAAATTCCAACTTGTTTGATGCAAATAGCTCAGAGTCATCTCTAAAATGCATTTTTTTAAAAAAATAAAATAAAAAATCAGCATGTTTATCTTCTCAAAATAAAATAAATTGCACTTGGGAACAAACTTGTTAGCAGCTCTGTCCAAAGATATCTTAATAGTGTGATTCTGTTAGGGCTCTCATTGACTTTTGAAGCCATTCCATATTGATTCTAACTTTTGTTGAAATTTGAAAACTTTAATAATGACCTTCTGCTCCAAAATAGAATCATCATCACCACCACCATCTGCAAGTACATAGAGTATTTCAAAATGTTGGGTGGTCTTCTGTGCTACTTTTCTTATCATGCAACAGATTTCCACCTCTCCTTCTCTCCCTTGCAGTCCCCTGAGTACTCTCGAAATCCTCTCCAGAAGATTGTGGGACCCTCTGAAGAGCAGAGAGGAAAGAAAAGTGAAGTCCCATTGCTTAAGCTCAGTGCTGCCTGTGCAGCCTTGGATGCAACACAGTATCTTTCTACTGCTATAGTGTGGGAAACTGCATGCAAAAGCTGTTCATTGTGTGGATAAAGTATTGTATACTCAAGGCCATGAAGTCTTATTATTAACACTTTTCAGGTAAGGTTTAGCATTCTATGGTTTCTAGATTAGCTATATGGAATCTGAAGCTCAGAGAGACTAAGTAATTTGACCGAGATCTCCACTGGAGTTTCTGGCATAGACAGAGAAAGCTGTTCTATTGAATTACATGCCAGTATCTTTGGAATCAATTGTCCCTGTGTATATTTTTATATGCCTAGTGCTGGGAACAGAGGCTATTAATAGCCTCACTACTGTAAAGTCATGCAGACTTTATAACTATGCGACTATATTTCTCCACTAGGGAATCCACTAACTTGTTTTGAATCTGTTGCATTGTTGTAGAGTTGCTGTCTGATTACTGAGGGTGGGACGTTCATTACGATCTTATCTTTAAACAATAGCTGGCCAGGGTCTGGAACTTGGCAAAGGAATACTAATGATGCAGAATAGGATATCAGTGTTTTCTTAATGGGAGAGATACAGAGATCTCTCTGAGGTGATACACACACACACACACACACACACACACACACCTGCAACTGGACCTGAGAAAAGAACAAGAGAAGCAAGTCAGAAAAACTGCAATTTGAGACTGAGAGGAGAGGGAATGGACTGAAGGCAAAAGGGCATATGGGGATGCTGGGGGGTCTGATGTGGAGAAGGATGAACAAATCAGTCAATGTCCCTTTGTTTCCCTTGGTTTTCTGATCTTCAGTTAACAAATCCACATGAAAATCCACTAGCATTTTGGTGACAATTTCTTCTAATATGCACATTTTCCTATGCAATTTTGCCTGATACACACACTTTTGTGAGCAATATCCCCCCAGTACAGTGCATTTGGTTATGTGATTTTTCACTAATATATGCATTCTTATGCACGCTTTCCCCTAATGTGCACATTTTTGCACAGATGTGGTGATTGAGGAGTGGGGATTTCCAAGGGTAGTTGTGCTTCAGTTTGTGCATTGTTTCAGAAGGCAGGTTTGGATTAAAATGTGAACGAAACTGAATTTCTCCCCTTGGTGCAAAGCAGTGGATTTACTGCTTGTAGGAGAACTATGCTTGTCTCAGCCTACAGTGGTACCTCAGGTTACAGGCGCTTCAGGTTACAGACAACGCTAACCCAGAAATAGTACCTCGAGTTAAGAACTTTGCTTCAGGATGAGAACAGAAACCACGCGGTGGCAGCATGGCAGCAGCGGGAGGCCCCATTAGCTAAAGTGGTACCTCAGGTTAAGAACAGTTTCAGGTTAAGAACGGACCTCCAGAACGAATTAAGTTCTTAACCCGAGGTACCACTGTATTCTCAGCCTGTTTGTGTGTGAATGAATCCAAATACAATATGCCTCCTGTGATCCCTCCTACCAAAGGAAACCTAAACTGTCCCTAAGCTTTTCTCTGCTCAGGAAAGTCAGATGGGCATAACAGTATCAATATTTCTGCCTCGTGAATTTTACTGCATGAGAACATAGGAAGACTTTGCTGGATGAGGCCAATGGCCCATCTGGTCCAGTATCTCATTCTTACATAGGCCACTCAGATGCCCACAGGAAGCATAGTTAGCAAATCCTTCTTCTTCTTCTTTTTGTCTTGGATATATCTCCCATAAAAGCTCCTGCGTATCCTCATTTTTTGCCCATGATTTGTTCCTCTCCCCAGCCTCTGACAGCTCACTTCTGTTCCAAGCCCTCTACAGCAGCTCTCGAGTGACAACTTTTGACTCTCTGGAATTGTGCCTGTTATCAGTAGCCATCCACACACCAGCCAATCTTCATGACACATTTGCCGGGGGGGGGGGGAGGCTGGGTCTGCTTCTCTGTCAAGTATATTTGACAACACCTCGGCTGATCAGGGTCCCCACCACTACCGCAGTCGATAAGACTTGAACTGCATTAACCCTCATGGCGGATTTTCCAACATACGTGTCTCAAAACATCACTCTGGGGTTGAGGCTGGGGACTCGCATAATGGCTGCACAGAAGGTAGTTTCTATTCATGGTGAAGTTATGCCACATGCCATGACAGTGGAGAGAGATGTGTAGAACTGAAAGCAAAAATGGATTCTGCCCATCCAGCCTGATGGTCTGTGTAACAAGGCCACTGAGTTTGAACACCTAAAAATTTGCATCTCAGTTCTGTTTCCCAACTAGAAGGCTGTTACTGTCACTGCAGTTACCCTCCTGCAATCCATGTGGATCACAAACCAAAGCCTTGTCTCTGGGACTCAGGTAAGCCTCAACAGTTTGATGTTTATTCTGCCTTTCTTGAGTTTAGACAGCTGATTCCAGGAAATCTTCTTGACAAATAAAATGTTAAGTGTTTCTGCTTTCAGACAAGTTGGAAATAGGACTGATATGGACCTCCTATGGACATTTGAGCATTTCCACAGCTGTCTGAAGCTTGAGGACAGAAACCAAAGCAAAGAGGAAAATGGTGCTGGAAGAGATTATTCAACTATTTTATTGGCTCCTCAAGAAAGGATCAGCTTGACATACTACAGCTGGCCCATGGGTATCTGATGGAATTTCATCCAGGGGGCTTAGTATTCACTTAGACTATACATGGGATAATGAAGGAGGTGGGGGAGTAGGGAAGAGACCGTCACTCAGACTCAGCTTCAGTCCCCCATCTGTAAAATGGGAATAAACCTTACAGGGGAGAACTTCCCTGTAGATTGCATCCAAACTTGACTCTCATCTTCTTCTTGTTAATGTTAATGTAGCTAGGAGAGATACATGGCTTTTAGTGATGCCTTGGAAAAAGTTTATTAAGATGCCTGGTGGAGTCTGTAAGTGGATTGAGCTTTTGCAACTACAAGTAATATTTTTTCATTCCCACCAAGGGAAACTGCTGGGTTTTTTTGCTCAGCAAATAAAGCAGTAAATGTGTTCTCATGTCACTTTTATTAACAAGTGAAATAGAAGGCGCAATTGTTCATCTGCATTAGACAGTGTGATTTAAAAATTGTGGCTTGCACTCATTTACAGGACATTATGGATCGCTAAATTAGACACATACCATGGCCATGTAAATCAGTAGTTTACTTTACACAATGTGTAAGCTGGGGAAAACCTCATTTGCTACCTCTTCTGTAATGAGAAGTTAAGTGGCAGTGAAGGATTGTGGTTTATCTTGCCCTTGGCTAATAGAGCTATCTGAAAATATCTGATATACTGGTTCTGATTGCTTTAGTTGCACAAAAGCCAACCCTCAGATGTTTAACTTTTGCTCAAATCTGAATAGGCTTTCTGGAATCACCATCTTCATTACCATGGAAAAGGGGGGGGGGGATTCAACACCACTCCCACACTTGAGTAGGGGCAAATTTCCCCAGGAAAAGAAGACTTGTGCGGTTTCCTTGAGAGGAGGGGTGTTTCTGACCCAAATGGATACCTGGACCAAATGGGGAATTGGAGGAGCAGGCCCCATTTAAACCTCACTCCTCCCCAAACATTGCAGTCTTATCTTTGGAGTGCCCCCTCTCCCTCCCTCCCTATGCTGCATATGGGCTTTCACTAGTTGCCCATTTGGGAGCTGAATAGGAATTTGGGGGGCAGAATAGATGAATAAGGGTCAAGTACACCGTGACACTTAGGGATAGGTTGAGCAGCTAATTCCATCCCATTTCAGTCGTAGGCCTGTTCTCTCCAGTTCCACGGCATCCCATTCTGACCCATTCCATTCTGTGCTGCTGCAAGCAATTTTTACCCATTTTTGTGGACATTTTTACATAAAACATATACTTTTAAAATACAGTTGTACTTTGGAAGTCAAAAGGAATCTGCTCCAGAAGTCCGTTCGACTTCCAAAACGTTCAGAAACTAAAGCACAGCTTCTGCAGCCAAGTGGAAGCCTCAGAAGCCTCATCAGACGTTTAGCTTCCAAAAATAGTTCGCAAACCGGAACAGTCACTTCCGGGTTTGTGGCATTCGGGAGCCAAAACGTTCGAGAACTAAGCTGTTCGAAAACCAAGGTACGACTGTATGCATTTCTGTGTGCACTTTTGTGCAGATGAAAGTGTGTGGCAAAATCTGGAGAAGTACATTGCCTGATAGGGAATTGCATTCCGATCCACACCAGTTTGAATGTGGTCTAAAAGTGAATGCACTGTCTAAAAGTGAACCAAATGAATTTCTTCCCCATCTCTCACGATACCCAGCCCCTGTCTTTATAAAAGGAAAGACGAAGCCCTTTCCACAGCTGCTTGGTAAACTTGGGAAGGGGGTGAGAGCAGAGCAGAGAGCAGAGCAAAGAGGCAGTGTTTGTGGTGGTAGAGAAGCATAGCAGAAGCAGTGGAGTAGCCCTAGACAGAATAGGGAGGAGAGTTGCCAGGATGTTGGTGGATATCTTACCCAGGGCTCTCTTAAGTTTGGCATGGCACTCCTTGATTTAGAGCAAAAAAAATTGAACAGTGGGAAGCAAAGGACTTGTGTGGAAGCCCTCCTAAAGTGAAATTCTAAGAGCATTTGACTGATCCTCTTCAAGTGAAATATATGAGAAATGTTGAGGGAAGCCAAAGTCTTGGGAAGGCCATTTCTCAAATAAGGTGCTGCCAATCCCTACTTCAGTCTACTGCTCAGCATTTTTTCATTTTAACCCTGGCATCCCAGTAACATGTCCAACAATGAAGAGAGATAAAATTATGTTTGGAAAAGGACAGGGAAAGTGCCTCTGAAGTACATGGAAGAGCTTCTGTTAGCAAGAATCCCCACTGCTAAGAGAAAGCCACTGCTTTAGATACCACTCTGCAATGCTTTTGAAAGCCTCTGCAACTTGAGAATGAGTTATATCTGGATTTCAGAACATTTGGCAAAAGGGGGAGATGATCAATTCCCGGGTCTTGAGCTTTGCATAATGCAAAATGTAGCAATTGAGAAATTATCAAGGTAGCTGAAACGCTTTCATTATTTTCTTTTTCTGTGTTTGCTTAGTCCTCTAAGAGTTGATCCAGAAATATCCCTGGCATGATGCTAGAGTGATAGATTTTAACCATCCCTTGTTTGTGGCTTCTGCCAGCAAATTAAAATACGGAAAAGTTGGTTCCTTGAAAGTACTGCCACTAATCATTTTTATAGAGGAGGGATTGCTTGTTAGCACACTTGTTTACAGATTGTTAGGCCAGGGAGAAATCTATAGGCTCTGCAATTTTAATAACTGCTCAATAGAATGTGTCCAAAACAAAGCGGAATGAGCAGGAACCTAGAGGAATCAATACACCATTTTTTTTATTATTATTTTTTGCTATGGGTGTGCACCAAACACAGAATTCACTTTGGACTCCAATTCAGAAAATGGACCAATTTAGTTGGACAGTTAAAGGAAATTTTCCCTCACTTTGGGAAAAACCAAAACTTTGTGCCTTCCCACTGACAAATATAAAGGAAAATTTCAATATGCCCCCTTTTGACATCACTAAATTTGCAGACTAGCAGCCCCTCCTGAATGGATAAAGCCTCTCAAATTTCAAAAAGATAGATAGAGGGGGTTCTGCAAGGGCATCGTTTACAGTTTCATTAGGGGTTCAGAAGGGAGTGATTTCTGCCCTCTGTTTTGTGAACAATTTGTATTGAAAGAGCACAGCTCATAGAGGTGTCCCTAGATAAGAAACATACTGAATTTCTTAAAGGGTCCTTAAAGTGTTTATTAAATCCACTTTTAAAGTTGATTTTGGCAGTAGAGAACACCCACTCCTCTCCCTCCCCCATTCTTCCCTATTCTTATAAGGACAGCTTGGGAAGATGAAATATAACCATTTCAAAGAGATAGACAGGTTGTGCCTGAATTCCTGACTCTGGGCACTTTAAATCTCCAAGTCAGCCCTGAGACTCTGGGAGCAGCCCAGTTTGGTATAAGAAGCCTCAGAAGACACCCACCTTGCCTCAGAAGAGCCCCAGATCTTTCCAATTCTGGCCAGTTCAGTATGGGATTTGTGATTCATCTGAACCACATGCACACCCCTAGGGAGTCTGTTGGTGAAACAGGACTTCTGTTCTCTTTCCCCCATGCACTACCCCAAATTTGTTCTGGAGGGTCCACAAACCCCTTGGAGCTGATTTTGTGGGGATGCAGGGGCTGGAGAGGAGAGGGAGAGGGACATTACTCACTTGCTTGGAAATCCCTTGTGCTAGCGGAGCTGCAGCATTGGATACAGATGCAACTGTTTACTCAGTTTCTCTATTCACTCCCTTCATGCCAAACATGATTTTATAAACTTCTACCATGTCACCTCTTACGCCCCCTTTATTTAAACTTGTTGTTGTTGTTGTTGTTGTTTAGTCGATTAGTTGTGTCCAACTCTTTGTGACCCCATGGACCAGAGCATGCCAGGCACTTCTGTCTTCCACTGCCTCCCGCAGTTTGGTCAAACTCATGCTGGCAGCTTCGAGAACACTGTCCAGCCATCTCGTCCTCTGTCATCCCCTTCTCCTTGTGCCCTCAGTCTTTCCCAACATCAGGGTCTTTTCCAGGGAATCTTCTCTTCTCATGAGGTGGCCAAAGTATTGGAGCCTCAGCTTCAGGATCTGCCCTTCCAGTGAGCACCCAGGGCTGATTTCCTTCAGAATGGAGAGGTTTGATCTTTTTGCAGTCCATGGGACTCTCAAGAGTCTCCTCCAGCACCATAATTCAAAAGCATCAATTCTTATTTAAACTAAGAAGTCCCAAATGCTGCAAGCTTTCCTCATAGGAGAATTGCTCAATATCCATTTTGGTTGCCCTTTCCTGAATCTTTCCCAATTCTACAGATTCTTTCTGAGGTGGGGCGACC